GAACATAATATATTACAGTTGAATGACAATTACTTACAGTTAGCTTTCAGATTTTTGAATTTTTGTTCAGAGGAAAAAAACAAACATAATCAYCACAAAGGAACATTTGAACTTGGGTGGCAGGGAAGCCAAATTGCAATCACATTTTTGACTCATGTACCTACTGTATATTATAATTACTACTAAGCAATGTGGTATTATTTAGACAGAAGCAGTAACAGTATATGCATTTATATCTGAGAAAAAGCAAATAAAGCATGCATCTTTTAACTTCTGTTTTAATACTATAATATATTGTGGTATTTTTGCTCCAGCTCATCTTACTGTTAGAACCTCATACTGACCCACAGCTTTTAATTAAATACTTTCTGTGGTGAGATACAATTATTTAAGATGTAAGAAAAACAGGGTACAAATTAAGCATGACTGAGTTTATATTTTGTAGGGGGGACTCAGCTTTCATAGTGGGGGAAACTCAGCAGGTGATGTTAATGTTTTCTGCAGAATGAGCAGAAGGTGGAGAACAATATAAGATTAGCTTTATGGATAAAAACACATTTACAATAAATTGCTCCATGGGGAATCCTGTAAGTAAATAAGCTGTAAAACGGCACACAGGAGCAGCTTTGAGGTATTTCTTGGTTGAGGTTTGACAGTTGGATTAGATTTTTTTACTGAAAAAAAGCTTCCTTAATAATCTTATTTTTGTTTAGTTATTTTGAAAATCAGACAAATTTTATTTTACAGGCGGGTAATTTTCAGCAGAAGTCAGACCTGTTCATCTTCACCTTGGGAGAAAAGCCTTCAGGTTATAATCAAAAACAACAAGACCAAAACAAAACAAAAAGCAAAACAAAAAAAATCTAAAAAAAAGGCTGCATCGTGCAGCCGCAAATAATAGTTATGTCTTTATGGAAGGTTACTTAGCAAAGCATAAAGCTGTAGCAGGCAACACCACAAAAACCAGCAGCAGTTATTGTCATAAAACACAGACACAAAGACACACTGGTCAGGCATCCACATGAGTAGAAAGAAAGAAAATGACGCCCTTGGTGGGGGCTTGTGAACGAACCTCGGATGTAGCGCTCACCTTCAGGTGGCTGCTGGCTTTGGGGCTGAGGCTGCTGGGGCAGCTGCTGTTCCAGCTGCCTGCGCTTCTTAGCCTCCAGCACTGGGTTCTCATACTGGGTCTTCCTGTTGATATGACTGGGAGTTTGCAGAGCAGGAGGGATGAAATTACAGGAGATAAAATACACCCGAAAAAAAATAAAGGGAAAACACCAACAGGATATTAGGGAAAAACAACAGGAAGGTAAAAGCGTTGTGGCCAAGAAATCCAGAGGAAGATTAAAAATGAAAGAAGACAAAGAYGGGGTGAAGAAATGAGGGCAGGGGTGGAGACAAGGAAATGAGTTTTAACTAAAGCAAAACACTTATGAACCTGTGCTACTGTGAGTCCTCTTCACTAAGATAATCACAGCGTGCACTCCCATGAATTAACCGCCAAAAATTAATTTTGCTTGATTAACACAACATATTTCAAATAAGATCCATGCCTAAGCAGTGTTTCTCCTAGAGTATTGGTAACACAGAACGATGAATCTTATATATCTTTAACTTATATAACTAAAATAACTAATATATCTCRTCATAAATCATTTCAAGATATCTGGAATTGTGATTAAATGTAAAAACAACCTGCCTTATGTTGCTAAAAATGATCTGCTGCGCTCTAAGAGCAGAAGCCGACTGTTAAATCAGCAAAATGGACTTAAGAGCAAATGGATGTCCACATCTTTTCATCTCTGTTAAGTAAAAAAAATAAAATAAAAATCAAATAAGGGACTCCTGTATGAAAAACAAAACAAAAACAACTACGTTGATTATATGATTTGCTCTGAGCATTGTATGGTGGAAGGGAAGAAATTATGAAGGTTTATTGCCTGCGACACAACATTTTAGTTATAAATGAGAAAATTTTGTGGTAGTACGTTAGAAAAAAAATGGTTAAAATTTACTTCCATAATTAATACGATCCCTCAACTTTATGACTGGAGCAGGTTTTGTTG